CAAGCAGTGTCAGTTACGGGTTACATCTTATGGATGTAAGTGGATCTTAAGTCAAATCAGATATTAGTTGGCTAATCCCACAAGCTTTGTGTCACAATTGCATTAGCATGTCTTGCAGTCAGGACACCACTATAGAGCAAAAGATTTCTGCTTAGCTTGGTGTTTATGTTTCTCCTTTGGTAGCATTCAGAGTACCTTCCTGTACCAAAGATGCTAGAGCATGGAGGTGAAGGCTCTATGCAGGTACCAGCTCTACTTCTCCACTCAGTGAGTTCTGTAGGTGCTGTCTTCATCAACAGGGCTTCGCCATTAGTTTGTGGAGAGCAACCTATAGTCTTGGCAGCAGCCTGAGTTATTTGGGAGTTCCCTTGGGACATCTTTGGCCAACAATTCAATTAGATGTAACTCATCCCCAGGACTGGAAGTTTCATTGGGTAACAAGTGATGTCTAGCTGGGATATGTCTCCTGTAGTATGGTGGTTCCATTTATATCACCTTCTTATATGTATACATTTTAGGAGGTTTCTACTGAGTTAGGTTTTCATACAACCCCTCAAAGGGCCCTTAATTTTAGGGGTCTCTCCCCATATTCTCTCCCTTGTCCCTTTCTTCTTTTTCCTTCTTAGTAGATCCTCTCATTCCATCCCTTCTCTCATCCATCCATAACAATCTATTCTATTTCCCTGTCCTAGGGAGATCTATTGGTCCACCCTAGTGCCTTACTCTATACCTAATTTCTGTGGTTCTGTGAGTTATAGCTTGGTTGTCATTGACTAATAGCTAATATCAACAACTAAATGGTGATCGCATGCCATGTTAGTTTTTCTGGTGCTGGATTACCTCACTCAGGATGATTTACCTGCAATTTCATTTTTTAATGGCCGATTAATATCTCATCTTGTAAATATGCTAAATTTTCATTATCTATTCTTCTGCTGAGAGACATCAAGGTTTTTTTTCCCCCAACATTTGGTTGTTATGAATGCGGCAGAAATGAACATAGTTGAACAAATGTCTCCGTATTAGGATAAAGTCTCTTTTCCTGATTTTAAAATTTACATAATCCAAATGAAATTAAAGTTTCTTTAATAAATGGATAAAGAGCCACATTTTCTCTTACAGACAAGACTTCAAGGATTAGGAGAGAGAGGAAGAAGTGGGGAAAGAATGAGAAAGGGAGAAAGAAGATGAGGGAAGGAAAAGGAGAAAGAGCTCATGTAGGGATGGAGCTAGGGAGAGAGAGAAGGAAGGAAGAAATGAGTATGAGAGGGTTCCTTGGTTGAGAGAAAACTTGGTAGGCAGGAAAGACAATTGCACATCACTTCAGGATTAAAGAAAGGGGAGGGGATGCTGGTTGTGTGACTCTGTGAGTAGAACACTTACCCACTTATGAATAAGGTCCAGGTTTAATCACAGCACCACAAATCAAATGAATAGTGAAGTTAACAAGAACAACAATTATAGAACAATAATAGTTCAAGATCTAGAAGAACAGTACGGATTGTGAGTGTTAGTGACATAAGATGGCAGAATCAATTTACTAGAGAGCAATCTAATAACCTTTGTGTTTCTTACACCTAAGTTTTGTTTTGCAAGAAAGCATCTCACAATGTAGTTCTTGGTGTCCTGGAACTCACCCTGTGTATTACTAAGCCGGTCTCAAATTCACAGAGATCCACCTGCTTCTGCCTCCCAAGTGCTATTGTTAAAGTCGTGTGCACTATGCTATGCTCTTTAAATCTGGTCTTGAAAGTAAAAAAGTAAAAATAAATTACTTATGAAGGTGATGGCATCTGAAGACTTCTTAAAAAATATTTCTCTTAGGCCAATCACAGTATTCCTTCCTGCCCTCCTTTCTGGCAAGTTCCTCTCCCCCAACAACTGCCCCCAACCACTCCTCCTCCTTTCACTTCAGAAAGGGCTGGCCTCGCAAGCATATCAGTCGTCCAGGGCATGTCAAGTTGCAGTAAGACTAAGCATTTCCTCTCCTACTAAAGCTGGGAAAGGCAGCCCAGTAGGAGGAAAGGGTCCCGAGAGCAGGTAACAGAGTCAGAGACAGCCCCTGCTCCTGCTGTTGAGTCTTACATGAAGACCAAGTCACAGAACTGTAGCATGTGTGCAGAGGACCTAGGTCAGTCCCATGCAAGCTCTCTGGTTGGCATTTCACTCTCTGGGTGCCCCTGCAAAGTTAGTTGACTCTGTGGGTTTTCTTGTAGTGTGTTTGACCCCTTCCTGTCCCTCTTCCACAGGATTTCCAGAGATCTGTCTAATGTTTGGTGTGTGTCTCTGCATCTGTTTCCATCAGTTGCTGGGTGAAGTCTCTCTGGTCACCTGAAGATGTTTTTTTAAATGAACTCATTACACCCATTTTAATGGCTATGTTACATTTATTATTTTTATGTTTTTATTTATAGACAACATGCATGGATTAGCAAGGATAAGTAGAGTACTGCATAATCTAAAATTAAGCTAGTAAGTGAATATAAAGAGACTAAACATATCATGGTTAAAGCCTCCTCAGTGGGATGTCAGGAGGTAATCATTTATATCTCCTAATTCTGATAATGCTGACCTATGTTACCAAGACTCATGGTTGCAAACTCAAGACTTAGATTAAGAAGTCTATAGACTCCAGTCTATGAAAAACTTATTTTTCATTTTACATATCAAATCCAGTTCCCCCTCTCCTGCTCCTGTCTCCCCCTTCCCCACTCCCCATCTACTCCTCAGGGGGGTAAGGCCTTTCTTGGGGAGTCAACAAAGTGGCACACCAAGTTGAGGCAGGACCAAGCCCCTCCCTGCTATATCAAGACTGAGCAAGTTATCCTACCAAAGGGAATGACTTAGCCATTAAAAGCTAGGCTCACAACCAAAAATATAATAATCATTTTCTTTTTATGTTTCCTTAGATTTCCTTTATATATATCAAATGAGGATTAAATAGAAAAACTGAAAATAACAAAATACCAAACACACGATATTCCTAGGAGCTAACAGTGGCATCAGTAGTTTTACATACTCAATGCTTACTTTAGATCATTATTAACCTTTGTATAGTAATAATATCTTACTATTTTTTGATACATGACATAGCAAGTTGATATTTTTACTTTTATTTTGAAATTGTTTTACTTTGTGTGTGTGAGTGTGTGTGTATGTGTATGTGTGTGTGTGTGTGTTGCATGTGTCTAGAAGGTACACATACCAAGTTGTGCATGTTGAGGGCAGAATATAATTTTGCAGAATTAGTTCTCTCCTTTCACCTTTATATGTGGATTCTGGCTATCAACAAATTCAAGTCATCAGGCTTTCACAGCATCTTTACCTGGTGAGCTATTTCGCTGGCCTGGTTGATATTTTCATGAGTAAATTTCATTTCTTTCCTAACAGTTCCCTTAATTGATATCCATTTACCCAATACAGTAGATATATCTTAGTTGAAATAGAATGAGATGTTAAATGATACTCATTGAAAAAAGGTCAAAAAAACTTAAAGTATCTGTCGCACCTGCTGTGCGGTCTGCATCCGAGAATGTAGCGAGGTGGTCGGGATAGATGACACAGAGACCGGTCGGTTGCTTTAAGAAAAACTTTATGCTTCCCAAGTCAGCTTAGGAGGAGACCCCAAGTCAGTTTTTGGAGAGAGAAATCTCAGGAGAAGTCTCTCCAAGAAAAAAGAGCTTCCCTTTTTAAGGACTTCTGTCATCCATCTACATACAATTCTTTCCAGACTTCTCACCCTCCTGGCTGGTGGTTTAATCTCCAGCCCCAGAATCGGGGAGACACAGCTGGGGGACAGGAAGAGGCATCTAGCCGTAGGGGGTGTGAAAGTCATGGTATCTCAGTGAGCAAGCCCTTATCTGAGCCCTATCAAGAGCTTTATAGCACTGAATTGTTTTCAGTAAACATTATCTCACAGCTGCCTGCTCCCAGGCCGAAGGGGAAGTGGGTTTCTGCTCAAGGTCTGCTGTCCCCACAAGTATCCATCTCAATTCACATGTGTCATTATGTGTATAATATGAGGCCATTCCATATTAGAAGGGTATTCCTCCCAGCACAAAGCAGCCCTTTGAATCTATGTTAGTGTTGATTTGACTAAAAAGGGAAAAGGTACCTCTAAGGGTGAATCACATGCTCACTTTGGTTGACAAACAGAATGACAGAATGAGAGACATCAAGTAAGAACAATTTCCAGTTCAAAAGCACTTCAGCTAATTGGGATTAAAAAAACTTGTACACAAGGAACCAACGATTATTCTGAAGAGTAGCTGCAGATATACAGATTAATATATAGTTTATTTAGAACACTGACCAAGAGTGGAAGAGAACTGTAGAGGTTACAGCCAAGATGAGTTCTATGAAAGAGTACCTGGAAGAGAAACATGGTAGCTTGTGACTTTGTCAGGAGATGAACCTGTAGTGATGTGTGAATAGCCTGTGAAGAGCAACAAAATAGTCTTGGGTGTGGGGTACGAATGTTCTGGAACACATCTGCATTTGCACTCACTCCAGCTTTTGCTCATGGGGTACTAAGTTTTCTCTGCTAAATTTCTCATTCTCTGGAAAGGTGTGGGACCACACCCTAGCCAGAATTTTATAAACACAGTTAAAAAGTACCCTGGGAGTGAGCCGAGCAGGGTTCAACTAAACACCAGTGTCTTATCCTTCCTGTTTCCTCACCATGTCACTCCAAATCTAGACCTGCCCTCATCATCACAGGCCCATTAACAGGCATACTGCAGCCAAACACAGCCTTTTAAAGTCATTAATTTTTGAAGGTAGTATATAAAATAATGGGTTTTATTATGGCATCTTAACACATGTATGCCAGTTGCGGTTAGTTCTTACCCCTCCTTCTCCCCTCACTTGCTTATGGCTTTCCCCTTTCAATTACCTCCCTCCTATTGCTTTCACGATCTTGCAATTGTAGTGTTGCTGGGAGATAGCTATCTGATCAGATTTTGTTACAGGTATAATAACAAAATAAATATTAGAAATAATAAAGCCACCAGCATTCTTTTATTGACTAGAATAAGTCATGGGTGGGAAAATAAAAAGACATGGATGAAGCTGGCATTTCAATGAGAAAGTGGAAGGGACCAGTAAACTTAAGCACAAACTGAAAATATTCACAAGTCTGGTAATTGCCAATTAATTAAGCTCTACAATGCAATCCTACAACTAAATCGGAAAATGATTTGGAATATTTTCTGTTGGTCCATTTGCTCAAAGTTGCTGTATTCTTCTGTTTGTAGACCTTCCATGACTTCCTGTCACCTTATATTAGATAATGACCTGAAAGAAGACAGAATCATTTATTAAGACTGGGCTGCCACCGGGCGTTGATGGCACATACCTTTAATCCCAGCACTCGGGAGGCAGAGGCGGATCTCTGTGAGTTCGAGGCCAGTCTGGTCTACAGAGTTAGTTCCAGGACAGCCTCCAAAACAATACAGAGAAACCCTGTCTCGAAAAATCAAAAAAAAAAAAAAAAAAAAAAAAAAAAAAAGACTGGGCTGCCAGGAGGTTGAATCCATTTATACATAGAACTTCCAAACAAGTTTTGAAGTCTGACTAAGTCACTACCATGATCCAATAAGGAATTTATAACATGTGATTTAGAATTGAGAAGATATATAATTACAGATTAAATAATTTATCCTATTTAAAATTAAGCATTAATTATAACTTAATAAAATATTATAATGATTAAACTAAGTTTACATTTAAATGTTTTGGTTATACATAAATATGGCATATTTCAGTGTCCATAAAGATAGCCAATCAACAGATTGTTCATTAATGAGCACTGTAAAAAATTCATCCTATCCCATCGGGCTAAATAGCTTGATACATGTGTGATTGACTTGACGTGGAGGGGAAAGAGAAAGATTCTCCATTTTGCTACTTAAATTTCACAATCTTACCTTTAGGTCTCTAGAATCCTGGAACCCTCTTCCATTCCCTTTTATTTTCTTTTTGTTTTCCTATTTTCCCCTTCTTGGACTTTTTCTTGGCTTTTAGAATTCAAATGGTGCAGGCTTGAAGAAGGCTATAATCCTTGGGGTTGAAATCCTCATTCACTGCTCTCCAGTCATCCATGTTAGGGACTGATTCAAAACAACATTACCAAAACAAAACACGGCACAACATAATTAAAATAATGCATTCTGAATAGGTCATTTAAAAACGAATTGGATATTTGTAATTATGCTTTTTTTTTGCTTGTCCCTGACTCCTTCCTCAGTTAATATGTGGTCCTATGTGCAGATGAAATTGAGATGCGATGTGTGGTGTGTACAGAGTATATCTTGCTACCAGGGCACAGGACTTTTCTGTGTAAGCTTCCTTTTCCTGCAAGGACTACAGAATTGAGGTACAAGTAGCTTTTTGTTTTCCTCAAGTTGAGTCCTTCTGTTTTCTTTGTCACTGGCTTTCATCCTCTGTCCCATTGGCTGTAGTTCACTGTTTATTTATTGGCTGTTTAGTATGGAGAAACATCCAGTCTTTCAGCATTGACAAGAAATCAGAGCAATGAGTCCGCCCATCACGCTACACTGCGTATCATCTTTTCCTGTTAGGCTCTTGACTGGTTTTTATTGTACTTGACTATCCTCAGAGTTTGGGAAATCTGACTGTGGGTTGTTATTTTCCAATCCTTATTAACACTTGCCAAATCTTTTGTCTTGCATCTTTATACTCATGACAGCTTCTAGGCCAAATTTTAGTTTTGATCACTGAATCTTTAAAAGGAATGTTAAGAAACTGACTTAGCCAGCTCCTTTCTGTGCTGGCAATGGATGCCGATTAGCTGTGTGCTAGTTGTTGAAGTCATAGCAACAAGCTCCACTTACTATCTTTTAGGCATCTCAATTAAGTTTCTTTGGACTTTGGAACTATAACTACAAAAAAGTTTCATCTCCTGGAGAAAATGAGTATGTTTGGGAGAAGAACTTCATAGAGTTAATTAAGAATTCTGCTCTAAGGTTCATTTCTGAACTGGAAAGCAAGGGATTATTTGGGATCCTGGATTTTCTTTTTATTGCCAGTTTTTTTAATAGGCTTTTGATGGACTTAATCTCTTAATTTTAAACTGACTATTTGCCAAGATCCTGGATGCCATTGCTGAGGCTACCAAGCTAAGTATATGCATCAATAACCAGAGGAAGGGCCCTAAAGTTGTTCACAGAGGCAACAAATATGGTATTACATTTTCAACAGAGACTCAGGACAGTTTTTAGTCAATAAAATGATTCTGTGAGAATACAGATAAATACCTTGTAGAGAAACATTTTTTAAAATTTTAAATTGACTACAATAAAACTGGATTAGACTAGATATTTTCTTTCTAAAAATGACAAAAACTGTAGTTCCTGCCTACATGTGAACTATTTTTGTTGGTTTTTTATGTCATAAAGTCATAAATTTCAGACTTTTCTCCTAGAGAGTGATGGAGAAACAAGGTTATATTATCTTCCTTTATCAAGCCATTAAACATTATCTTATGCTGTCTAGGTCATTATTTTCCTAGATAATGAACAATTTAACCTTCCTCAGCAAATGTATTTCATATTGGTTACACATTTTTGTGAATATGTGCTGGTGATATGTATGCATAGGTATATGTAAAAGGAGTTCTTAATTGGTCTAAGTAATAAAAACCTGGAGTTTAGAGGGAAATGCTCACAGACCAGAGACGAGGAGCAAGCTACCTCCATACCTTACCTCCTTAGCATCTCAAAAGACAGAAGAGTAAGTTTCTGTTTCTCCCTGCTTATATCCTGTTTCTGTCCAGCTAGCTCACTTCCTGTCTGTCTGAAAAGACCTCCTGACCTCTATGTTAGCTACTGGCAAGCTGTATTCTCTGACCTTCAGACAGGCTATATTTGTACAAGCAAGGTATCACCACAGCTTTATATGCATGTATGTAAGAATGTGCATGAGAGTCCAGGCATGTTCGTATCAGCTCACATGAGTGAAGGTTGGAAGACAACCTCAAGCGTCAGTCACAACCTTTGACTTTGAGGCAGGTTTTTGTTGTTGATTGATGTATACACTCAGTTAGCTGGCTTACAACACTCATAGGATTCTCCTGTCTCTATTTCTCCTTTCCCTGTAGCAGCGTTGGAATAACAGGTATGTGTTACTGTGCTGTGATTTTATTAGCCCTGGGTATTGGGCTAGGTTTTCAGTAGCAGATATGACTTCTTTGTTGTAGAACAGTGGGTCTTAAGTACAATTGAGGAGCTGTTGCTTCCTGTCAAGGTATGGATGCCACGACTGCACTCTTATAGTTATTGTGGTGGTCATTGTTGTGGTTCACAGACACCCCAGCTGCATAGGATTGTTCTTTGCTTCCCTCCCTTGTAAGACTGCACTGCCGAGTACTTTCTGATACTATGAAGAAGGTATTCTTAGTCAGGGGCATCTGGGTCCTGTGTTTGAAGTGGATAGTGTCTTCATTCAAAACCTTAGAAAAAAATGTTTACAATAGTTTTACTCATAGCCATTCAGAATTGGACAACAATCCAAGTGTCCTTGGATCAGTAAATAGATAACCAAATTTTGTTACTGCCATGCAAAGAAATTCTACTCAACAGTAAAAAGGAGAAAATTACTGATAACACAACATGTATAAATCTTAGATATATCTTAAATGGTCATATAGTCAGGGATATCAATCCACTTATGTGATATCCTAGAAAAGGCCTACTATATAGCAGTAAAAGACACATCAATGACTAGCAGAGGCTACAAACAAAGTGACAATACAAACATAAGACAATTTTGAGGAAAGTTGTTCCACACCTTCACTCAGGCATGGCTCACATTATTGCACATATTTTACAGAAGTGATAGAACTGGAATGTACAAAGATGGACTTTACAGTTCAACAAACTAATATCCCAGCAAAAACAGATCAAAGCAGAAGCAAATATGTCTAAGCATTACTGTTGTTTGTCATTTTTATATTATTCAAAGTAACAATGCAAAAATAAAAATGACTTTTATAAGTGATAGATTGAAAGTCACTCCTAGAAAAATTTTCTGTGTACATTTCTATGTCTTTAAAATTTTCCTCCCATTTCTTTCAGTTTCACCTATTGTATGAAATCTATTAACTATTAGACACAATAGAAGAGAGAATACCTGTAAACTGCTTTCAATTATAATCTTCCTTAATTCATCTTACTAAGCAAGAAGTAAATAATATATTCAGTTTATTTTGTACTAAAAATGGATTACTGTTGAAGTGATTGATTAAAATCAATTACCTTTAAATGGTAAATGCTAACCAGAAAAAAATCAAGTCCTTTTGCTGGTGTAATGGCATTCTGATTGAGATGTAGCCCTTGAATGCTAACTCTTGAGACCTGATATGCGTGTCATCTTTCCAGTGGTCACTTCGCTGTAGTTATTGCTGGCTTAAACATTTTATGTGTCAATTTTATTGAAATGTGAAAATTCTATCTTCTTTCTGCATTTTCCCATTAGTGCAATTATTATTATATCCCATCCAACAAACCCAATTATAGTTTTAAGAACTTTAATTTAATTTGAGAGAACATTTATATATTTACTAGAATATTCCAGTTAATGGAAATCAATCGTAAAAATACAAAAGTTAATAATATAATAATTAATAATATAATAATAATAATAGAAAGCAAAAGACATTGGTGTGTTTCTGGCATTCAGGTATTACTAGCATTTTATTTATAGCCATCTAAACATATGTAAATCATTTCACCTAGTATAGAAGCCATGATAGATGTTTCAAACTTAGGGGTGTAAGTTTTATTATTTGTTAAAACAATACAACTGATTGTAGCTAACGTGGAAAACCACATAGACACTATATACACCTACCATGAGCAGTTGTGTCCTTCTGAAGGCAAGCAGCAGATGGATTTTATAATGTTATCACCAATGCTATTAATATTGCATTTAGGGTAATAGCATTAAGACCACTGCGATTCCTAGTTTTTATTATTTGTGCTTGATTTTGAATTAACAATGCAAATAAAGTAAAGCTCTTTGTAGTGTATTGATTGGACAATCACTCATTTATATGTCCAGCAGGATAGGTGAGGTAAAACTCATTCTTTTCCCCTTGTGCTTTCCTCTGAACTTCTTTTGTAGTTCCAGTTTTACTAGAGTGAGATTAATAACTCATAGTCTGAAGAAGTAAGGGTTTAATAGGAATGATATTTGCTTTTGATCTTGGCTTAGAGTTAGAATGTTGAACTTAAGAACAGAACAATTGACTCCATTGACATGTACATTCTGCTTATCCTGCTGCATATAGAAAAGGAGTTTAAATAAGCTCACATGCAATGTTTTGATTAAATACTCAGCAGCATAATTTGGTGGTAGCTTGAAAACAAATCCTCCGATCTTGATGTTTAAATAGAATTGAGTGAGTTTTTGCTGTTTGTAAACCAATACCTCATAAAACTATTGTTTTCAGATTATTGTGAGAGTTGTTTCTTGGGGAAAGTTAAATTTTCTTCAAGCCCTTGATTCCAACCCTTACCACATTTAATTAAGAGAAGATGATGTCTGCTGTGAGTTAAGGGCAGATTTATTGTGAGATCTTAAAAATATATATTGGAACATTTTTCTAGAGTAGTTCTGTGTTCTGGGTGTGTAGATTTTGACCTGAGTTGACAGGAACTAGGTTATGTGCTTGGTTTGGCACCATCTCTAGTAGGATTCAGTGTACAGGATAGCATGGGTTCCCACTTCTTATTGTACATCAGAATCAACTGGAGAACTCTTGAAACATGATCCTTGGTCCTCCGATAGAGACCCAGCTCCAACTGTTTCAAATGAATGCCAGGCATTAGTATTTGGAAGATCTCTGAACTGGAATCCAATATGCAACCAAGACTGAACATGCTTGAATTAGACATTGGAGGCAGTATATGTTTGGGAATGGTGGCGATTGATGTAGACATGTGTACGTGTAGGAGAGATAAGCACGTGTCTTCACGGAGAACTGAGGTCAACACCCAGTGTCTTCCATGATCAGCCTTTTAATTTGAAATAGGGTCTTTCAGTGAACTTGGGGCTCAGTGATCTGGCTGGGCAGGGCAGGCTAGCAAGCCCCAGAAATCTGATGTCTCCATCTCCTGAGCACTGTGATTATAGAGGTAAATCACTGAGCAAGGCGTGAGTGACAAGCACTGTATCAAAGGACATATTTCTGCAATCTCTAGACTTTGGCATTGTTTTAGGAGCTCAGTATTTGAATTCAATATGAAATTATGATTGTGGACATCTGAGTCAGACTCTTGTGTCTTCTACTGTTATACTATTCAATAATTCAAGATTAA